AGACCTGATAATGAAAGAAATTATGACAGACTGGCTGGAACAACAGGATAGGAAATTGCTGTGCCAAGAAAAATTTTTGTTTCTGACAATACTGTATTACATCCAGACATTTAACTTAAAAATATTTTTATATTTCTACTGAATTTCACTTCATTGTTTCAACCTTTCTATCAAGGTATAATTCAAAGTCCAGTACAGACAAATGCTATGAACAAATGCACATAATTGTAAATCTAGATTGTGGAGCATTTCTCAAAACACTGACAATGCAATGTCATCCAAGCCATTTCGTAGATTTAAAGTGCTTGAAGACAGGTTTTACCATCCACAATTCAGAGTTGTTTCTTCAAAGCAAGATTTCCTTCCAGCAATGAGAACATTTACAATTTTGTAGCAGTTATTGCAAATGTTATGGAGATAATGCAACAAGATTTACCATTACTGTAAACTGTTACTTTAGTGCACAAGCCAAGATATAAAAACAATCCTTCAATTAGTTTTAGATTCAAAAAAGGAAGAATAAAGATATTGATGCTAATTGTTTCACATCCAAAATTACACTACAGAGATACCAATAGCATCATACAGACATGCCCTGCACTATGTGAACAAACTCAGTTTTACATCAATAGAAAAGATGTAGATGGTACAAAGCTAGCATAAGACTTATGCATAGTGAGAAGCAGATTGCTGCAATCAGTTGTAAAAATTAATTATAACTGAATTAAAACAAAATTAATACTAACTCTCTTGCAGTAATTCATCACTTATTGTAATGTGTCATGTTACTAATTTTACTTGTTATGTGTATTATGTTTGTAAATAAAAATAGTTCAGGCTACATTTAAAGATAATTTTCACAAAACCTTCTTTGGCAGATACTCTATAACGAGGTTGTTTTTTGTCCTTCAAGTGTCCATTATAGAGAGGTTTATATATATATATATATATATGTAGAATACACATTAGAAAATTATAAGATATGTTTAGATATGAACGCTTCAGCATACGAAATTTTCAGGATATGACATGAAATTTGAACATATTTTTGCTCCACAGTATGAACAAACACTCACCATATGACGTTACATTAGTTCACAGAGTACCACCATGATCACATGTTCCTTCTGTTCATCGGTCTCAGTCTGCATGTTTGCTTCGTCGTGGAAAGATCTCACTCGATAAAGGAAATCTTGAGATATTATCAGAAAGTGACTGATTTTATTGAAGAGAAACATCCCGAAAAGGTTCACACTGGCCGTATTGCTGCTCAGTTTAATGACATTTGCTTAAGTCATTTTAGAAACATTTTAAAAAGTAGGCAAAGTAGGCTCTTTGGATAGATATTTTACCAAGTGACTTCTATCCAATGAAAATGCTGGAGGAAATGAAGGAAAGAAAGCAAAAAGCAGTGAATTAAAAAATATATATGTATAAAACAGAAAGATAAAAAAATTAGTGTTAAGTTATTGTTACATTGTGTTATGTAAGTTAAGTTTTAGTATCATTTCCCTTCTCCCTCTCTGCCATCAGTTTGCACCTCCACCGTCATCTATCCTCAAAAGTAAAGTGCAAATAAAATTACATTTTTAAATCAGTTATTATTCTATTATGGTTATTTATACATTTACAACTACAAAATGCATTTGTCAGTGTTTCCCTTACTAAAGTTATTTTTTCAATGTACTACTTAGCTTTAATTTGAGTGTTTTTTTCGTGTTGGAACGGATTATTTGGTTTTACATGTAATCATATGGGGTAAAATGATTCACCTTACAACATTTTCATGATACAATATCAGTTTAGGAATGGATTAATTTTGTATCCTGAGATCTACTGTATTTAAAATTTCCAACATTTTTACAAGAAATTTGAGATGATAAAAGAAATTAAAATGTAATATGTAACAACATACTGTTTTGTCTATTTTTTTTTAATGACTTTGACATTGACATTACAAGAAGAGACACCTGTCTCCTCTCACCAGTAAAAATTTGAATTTTGTCTGTTTTTGACCCAAATACTCATTAGAGATTTCAAGAACTGTTTAAAAATATCTATAGGATCCTAATTGTGCTTTTCATTCAACTTGATTTTCATTAATATCTGGAAATTTATAATATTAAAATATACAGAAATTAAATGTTTTGAGAAAACTTATGAACAAGTAATTACAACTGATCATGAAACTATATACTAAAAGCTAAAGAGAAAAATTTAACTTTAAAATAACCTGACTGCATTTCAGTTTATTAGGCTGAGATGAATAGGAAGTTCAAAGTATTCTCTACTGATGTACAAATTTTATTATTAAATAATTTTTTCAATATTTTCGTATTAGTAAAATATTTGTATTTATAATTAAAATTAATATTTTAGAAATATTTTAATATGCCATTTTAAATTATCTTTTCAGAACATGAACATGCTGAGAATTTAATGTAAGTTGATTATCTTATAAATATAGTTTAGTTGATTATTTTATAAATATAAATTTATTTCTCATTAGTACATAATTGGTGTTCAGCATTATATTTTAACATATTTTAGTGGTCAGGAACAGATTAATCCATTTTATATTGTTTCTTATGGGAAAATTTGTTTTGTGTTTAGAACAACTTTGAGGAATAAATTAAGATGAATTGCCAGTTACTCTACTTGGACAGAAGTCCAAGTAGTGTAACTGGCAATGCATTTGCTTGGTAAGCTGCAGTTGCCAGTTTAAGTCCTGTGCTGGGCCTATTCTTTCTTCCAGAACCTTCTAATTGAATTAATAAACATTAATTTAATTATAATTATTAAATTTAATATGATATGGTGCTTAATGCCTACTTCTAGGCTAAATTTAGTATTTAATTGTTAATAGTCAGATGTAATCCAGCAATTGTTTGGCTTTAAAAATACATAGTTTCAATTAAAATGGCTGATATATACACATTAAAAATACTTGAAAAAATCTTTTTAATGTGTATATACTATCAACCATTTTAATTGAAACTATGTTTTAAAGATGAAGTTTAAAGCATCTATATATCTATATCTATATATATATATAAAAATGGACATGTATGTCCCTATATTTCACTTTTNTCGCGTAAGTCAGGGTAGTGTAAGTCGAGGTATTACTGTATTAATAATTCAATGATTCTTAAAAATGATCTTTTTTTCTAATTAACAACTTAATTAATTAAAAATTTTAATTTGCAAAATTTAAGAAGATAACTCATTAGAAAGAATGGTAAATATACAGGCAATTTTTCTTTCAAATTTTTTTAGAGAGAGAGAGACCGTATATTATCTAATAGACTTTTCCATGTTTAATTATCAACTCGGTTCTTATTAGCCTACAGTTATGTTCTACAAAAAGTGAAGAAACTGAGTAAAGAACAGATCAAAATATACAGATATAGCAAAAGATAATTAATGATTCCTTTTGCTAATTTTGGTTAATCGACTCTGATATGATGAATTCAAATAAAACTGGAAATTCCTGAGTTTCAGTTTTGGTTTTGCCAGAGACTGGTGTTTATTCGAGTCTTTACTGTAAGGCTGCATTTATGCAAATGTGAGAAGAGGGAAAAACACATGAAAGCAAACTTTTTAGAGCAGAATTCAAAATTGTAACACTATTTATGCAGAAGTGAGAATTGCACGCAAACGTTTACACCCTGTGCGAACACTAGTTCTAAATTATGCTGCTGCAGCAAACAGTGCCAATAGCTGAAAGCTTGATTTGTGGTATTTTCTGATCATAATTACAAATTGTGAGTATTTTATTTGTAATTACTAATAGTTAATAATGAAAATAAGTTTCCTTTAAACAAATAAAAGTTCTTAAACTAAATTATAACATTAAATGAAACAAAACTAATAAACATAAAATAAGAATACAACTCAACTCCTTACAAATAACGTATATCATCATGTCCAACTAATTTTATTTTGGTCATTGTTTAGTCACTTTTTCCTTGCTGGAAGTTACTATTCTCACTTATTTTGAAGTAATTTTCTGTTCCGATGCTTGTACTTAGGATTACATTTTAGGTAAAAATTTCTATTATATAATAATTTTTCCTATAGGTGAATATGTATAATTTTAAAAGAAAAAATCCTGTAATCATTTAAATATTTTGACATAGAAAAACAATCTCAGTAACATTCTAAATTTGGAATTCTCAGTTTGCATTTATATTTCTTCTGTATAAGCCTGACATAGTCCTCTGAAGAAGACTAAAAACATTTGTTGTTATGAAAATTAAAAGACATTTTTCTGCTGGAAAAGTGTTTAATATTTTTTTTAACTCTCTCTGCCCTGTGGACACTAACAGGGCCCCTTTTTAGCAAGCCCATTAGGGGTTCAGCCAGGCCAGGTGATGAGGGACAGGGCTCAACATATCCAGACAGACCACCTATCTGGATTTGATTCTGGGTTTCCCAGAGCAGCAGGCTGCCACTTGACTGTTCAGCCATCAGTGTTTACAGTTTGTTGCATGTAATTGGATGAAAAAAGTTACAACTTTCAAATTATTTCTTGACTTGAATTACAAGTAAAATACTTTAATAAATGGTAATTAGCCTCTATCTACAAGTCAAACTCTTTCAGATTAAGATTTATATTTAATAAAAAAAGTTTAATTTATTTGTGTTGTAAATGTATAGAATTGTTCAAAGTATTTTTTTAGTTTATAGTTTATATGCTTAATATAATTTAAATATTTCTATTGATTGTATCATTTTATACTTGAAGTTCTGAAAACATTCAAGAATAAATTTTTATTAACATCTATGTAAATGCTGGACATTATGTATTATTTTGAAATCATTTTAAGATTTATCTTTAGACATTAAATTTTAGGAAAGTTTTTTTTCTGTTTTTAATTTAATATTATTTTACTTTTCTCTTATATAATTAGTTGATAGCTTTTGATTACTTTTAGATTTGTTATGGTATTGTTTGTGAAATTACTAATATTTTTTTATCTCAATTTTTCTTTTCTTAGAAAAATGAATAATCCAATCTCTCAGAGGAGGAGATATTCAAAAGGTAAAATATGTAAAATAATTTCCATAGGTGAATATGTATAATTTTAAAAGAAAAAATTTATATATATATAATTGCAATCAGTGTTTATTAGCAGTAGAAAGAATCTTGTTGCACAGGGACAGTTACATAATTTAAGTAACATTCAATACTCCAATTATATATATAATTGAATTTTGATTTTTACTAAACAATTAGTAGATGTCAGTTGAATTTACATGTACAATAGAACTCAGTTAAGTTCCTACATTAGTTTTCCCATGTAAGAAGTTTAATTTTAAAAATTTCAGTTTTTCTTCCATAAGAGAAATGTGTATTTTTCCTGTATAAAATGTTCCTGTTGAAGAAAATTTCCTGCTTAATTAAGTAGACTGAAATCTTTGCCCACAATTGGAAAATGTATAAAATTTGACAGGATGTATTTTTCAACTACATCCTATGAAATTTTATACATTTATACATTTAATTGCATATGCCAGTGATTCCCAACCAGGAATATACACTTTTTGAGGAATATACTTTTTAGGGGTATGCAGGGGTCACTCTGGAAAATTTTTAAAAATTTATACCATTCTACCAGTTTTTTAATTTTTTTCACTACTTTAAATTACTTATCGCCACCAGTTTCACTTACTAATTAATACAGGTGCTGGTAGCCTTATCAGTTTGTTGTCTGAAAGTAAAGTAACATATTAAACTGTCACTTACAAGGAGAGGGCCAACATTAGGGTCTCCAATTTGAATGAATCTTGGTGAGCACATAGCCTTAAACACAAATAGCTCCTTGTCCAAATAATAGGACCCACTTTTCAAGAGTTTCCAAAAAATAGGCCTCTCAAAATTGAGTGTTTAGCTTATAAGTCTTTGAAAGTTTCATATCCAAGAGTGGCAATAGCAGAGCAAATAAGACACTAAGCAATAGGGCTAGATTATGTAGGTTCAATTCTTTGAAATTTTAATTTAGTTTTATTTTACGAGTAACATTTTTATTTTACCACATTATTATTACTTACTTGTGTTACTATTACTATTCCTCACATTTAAAGCTTATAAAACAAGAGATGATAAATTGTGAATTGTGTCACAATTTATCATCTCTTGTTTTATAAGCTTTAATATCATTTTATTAAATATAAGATCATCTTGTTTTATAAGCATCTCTGTAGATTTAAGTCTTACATTGTTAAATAAAATTTTCTTGTTTTAGACCTATAAATTTTTACTGTTGTCCATCTGTCTGTTTGTCCTTAATCTTGAGAATGGAGTTAGATAGATGAAAGCTGAGACAAGATATGGAAAGATTACGGCAGTAGGTCTCAATTAACTATATATGAACTTCCAATGCAAACCAGAAATTACATCATTTCAATTCAAAAATTTTTCCCAGAAAGGAGTTAGGGTGTGACTATGCTGATGTGACAGACAGACAAAATAAACTTTATTATGCCCGACACCGCTAGGCACAGTCGGGATGAATATATACAGTGTGTACATAGAGGTAACATGCCGAGCAGGAAAATCGACAGTGAGCATAAAAGAAAAGAAATCAAAATACATGTAGATATAAAATCCTGATGTCAGGAGTCATGCGGTAAATAAAAGTGGGGAAAAACGTTTATCAATGCATTAATGACTGTTAAAGTAAAGCTTGACCATCCTTTGAAAAAGGGAAAAGTACTTTTTACTCGACACTAAAATTTCCAGCTTACACGGCCTGGAAATTTTATGTCCTCCAGCAGTGGGCAAGACAAAAGATAATGCCTTACTCCATCACGCACATCGCAGTTTGGACAGCAGTCAGTGTCGCTGTGTAGAAACCGATGTAAGTATACATTGAATTTACCATGTTCTGAGAGCAGCTGTGACATCTGGTGTTGAGGGTGGACCCATTTCAAGCTGAGGCGTCTTGCTACATCTGGGATATGCTGATGTGAATGAGAGAGAATATGTGGCAAGAAAAGGTGAGACATGATAAATATCAAACCCTGTCAGATGTGTGAGAACCAGAAATTTGCTCTGGCCAGCAGTGCTTCTTGCTTGTGCATGTTTTCCTTATATCACTCGCAATCTCTTGCTCACTACTAAATTCGCATCTGCATAGTCACACCCTTAGGTAGATGATTGGCATGACTCTATTGCTAACAGGAAAAATATGAAGACATTAGTAATTTGAGGTGGAGAGCATATATTTTAAATTAAATAAATTAAAAATTTCAGCCCAGCATTGTGACAATGTCATAATAAATAATTGCTCATTGTTATAATGTTGTATGCAGTGGTTGTATAATAATGTAAATGTTGGTTTATCTGAGTATTGTATTTCATTTTATTAGCATCTTTTATGTGTATTTTAATCATAACATTATATTGTTGAATTGTATATGTAACCTGGCTGAGGAGGGCTATAAAAAAGCCAAAATGTATTACAGGGTATTAAGTGTTAATTAAAGAAATTGGAAAGATATGTGATAAGTCTGATAAACAATAAGACCAGCAGGTTTATATAGTTAATTACTACTATGGTATTTAGGAAATTAATAGGCTGAAAGAGTCAAAGCTCTTTATGAAGAATTGATTGTAATACAGTAGCACAGTGGGATGATAAACTTTCTTATATTATCACCAGTATTCCCCAGAAAATATTTTGAATGCAGGCAAACAGGACTGTTACATTAAGCTCTTCCAGATAAAGTTTGTACTTCAGGGATGAATTATATTCAGTAGCAAAAGAACCACTAACAATTTTGTTATATACAAAATTATAAGTGGAGAATGTTAAAAAGTTTGATAATTGGAAAGGCTGCCAAACCAAGATGTTTCAAGAATGTATACATACAAAACTTGAAATTAATGGAAATCAAACAAAAAGACCTGATAATGAAAGAAATTATGACAGACTGGCTGGAACAACAGGATAGGAAATTGCTGTGCCAAGAAAAATTTTTGTTTCTGACAATACTGTATTACATCCAGACATTTAACTTAAAAATATTTTTATATTTCTACTGAATTTCACTTCATTGTTTCAACCTTTCTATCAAGGTATAATTCAAAGTCCAGTACAGACAAATGCTATGAACAAATGCACATAATTGTAAATCTAGATTGTGGAGCATTTCTCAAAACACTGACAATGCAATGTCATCCAAGCCATTTCGTAGATTTAAAGTGCTTGAAGACAGGTTTTACCATCCACAATTCAGAGTTGTTTCTTCAAAGCAAGATTTCCTTCCAGCAATGAGAACATTTACAATTTTGTAGCAGTTATTGCAAATGTTATGGAGATAATGCAACAAGATTTACCATTACTGTAAACTGTTACTTTAGTGCACAAGCCAAGATATAAAAACAATCCTTCAATTAGTTTTAGATTCAAAAAAGGAAGAATAAAGATATTGATGCTAATTGTTTCACATCCAAAATTACACTACAGAGATACCAATAGCATCATACAGACATGCCCTGCACTATGTGAACAAACTCAGTTTTACATCAATAGAAAAGATGTAGATGGTACAAAGCTAGCATAAGACTTATGCATAGTGAGAAGCAGATTGCTGCAATCAGTTGTAAAAATTAATTATAACTGAATTAAAACAAAATTAATACTAACTCTCTTGCAGTAATTCATCACTTATTGTAATGTGTCATGTTACTAATTTTACTTGTTATGTGTATTATGTTTGTAAATAAAAATAGTTCAGGCTACATTTAAAGATAATTTTCACAAAACCTTCTTTGGCAGATACTCTATAACGAGGTTGTTTTTTGTCCTTCAAGTGTCCATTATAGAGAGGTTTATATATATATATATATATATGTAGAATACACATTAGAAAATTATAAGATATGTTTAGATATGAACGCTTCAGCATACGAAATTTTCAGGATATGACATGAAATTTGAACATATTTTTGCTCCACAGTATGAACAAACACTCACCATATGACGTTACATTAGTTCACAGAGTACCACCATGATCACATGTTCCTTCTGTTCATCGGTCTCAGTCTGCATGTTTGCTTCGTCGTGGAAAGATCTCACTCGATAAAGGAAATCTTGAGATATTATCAGAAAGTGACTGATTTTATTGAAGAGAAACATCCCGAAAAGGTTCACACTGGCCGTATTGCTGCTCAGTTTAATGACATTTGCTTAAGTCATTTTAGAAACATTTTAAAAAGTAGGCAAAGTAGGCTCTTTGGATAGATATTTTACCAAGTGACTTCTATCCAATGAAAATGCTGGAGGAAATGAAGGAAAGAAAGCAAAAAGCAGTGAATTAAAAAATATATATGTATAAAACAGAAAGATAAAAAAATTAGTGTTAAGTTATTGTTACATTGTGTTATGTAAGTTAAGTTTTAGTATCATTTCCCTTCTCCCTCTCTGCCATCAGTTTGCACCTCCACCGTCATCTATCCTCAAAAGTAAAGTGCAAATAAAATTACATTTTTAAATCAGTTATTATTCTATTATGGTTATTTATACATTTACAACTACAAAATGCATTTGTCAGTGTTTCCCTTACTAAAGTTATTTTTTCAATGTACTACTTAGCTTTAATTTGAGTGTTTTTTTCGTGTTGGAACGGATTATTTGGTTTTACATGTAATCATATGGGGTAAAATGATTCACCTTACAACATTTTCATGATACAATATCAGTTTAGGAATGGATTAATTTTGTATCCTGAGATCTACTGTATTTAAAATTTCCAACATTTTTACAAGAAATTTGAGATGATAAAAGAAATTAAAATGTAATATGTAACAACATACTGTTTTGTCTATTTTTTTTTAATGACTTTGACATTGACATTACAAGAAGAGACACCTGTCTCCTCTCACCAGTAAAAATTTGAATTTTGTCTGTTTTTGACCCAAATACTCATTAGAGATTTCAAGAACTGTTTAAAAATATCTATAGGATCCTAATTGTGCTTTTCATTCAACTTGATTTTCATTAATATCTGGAAATTTATAATATTAAAATATACAGAAATTAAATGTTTTGAGAAAACTTATGAACAAGTAATTACAACTGATCATGAAACTATATACTAAAAGCTAAAGAGAAAAATTTAACTTTAAAATAACCTGACTGCATTTCAGTTTATTAGGCTGAGATGAATAGGAAGTTCAAAGTATTCTCTACTGATGTACAAATTTTATTATTAAATAATTTTTTCAATATTTTCGTATTAGTAAAATATTTGTATTTATAATTAAAATTAATATTTTAGAAATATTTTAATATGCCATTTTAAATTATCTTTTCAGAACATGAACATGCTGAGAATTTAATGTAAGTTGATTATCTTATAAATATAGTTTAGTTGATTATTTTATAAATATAAATTTATTTCTCATTAGTACATAATTGGTGTTCAGCATTATATTTTAACATATTTTAGTGGTCAGGAACAGATTAATCCATTTTATATTGTTTCTTATGGGAAAATTTGTTTTGTGTTTAGAACAACTTTGAGGAATAAATTAAGATGAATTGCCAGTTACTCTACTTGGACAGAAGTCCAAGTAGTGTAACTGGCAATGCATTTGCTTGGTAAGCTGCAGTTGCCAGTTTAAGTCCTGTGCTGGGCCTATTCTTTCTTCCAGAACCTTCTAATTGAATTAATAAACATTAATTTAATTATAATTATTAAATTTAATATGATATGGTGCTTAATGCCTACTTCTAGGCTAAATTTAGTATTTAATTGTTAATAGTCAGATGTAATCCAGCAATTGTTTGGCTTTAAAAATACATAGTTTCAATTAAAATGGCTGATATATACACATTAAAAATACTTGAAAAAATCTTTTTAATGTGTATATACTATCAACCATTTTAATTGAAACTATGTTTTAAAGATGAAGTTTAAAGCATCTATATATCTATATCTATATATATATATAAAAATGGACATGTATGTCCCTATATTTCACTTTTCCGTCAAAACTACACATCGCACGTGAATGGTGTTTGTATGTGGTAGTAGCCCCAAGTCTCCATTCGTGCACCAGGGGGGTTGCGTCTCGATAACTATAAGGGTGTGGGAGATATGAGGCTGAAAGTGGTTTTCTATTTCGAATGTTTTGTTCGAATTTAATTCAAACAAATTCGAACAATATTCGAATTAAATTTGAACATAAAATTTGAATATTGGTTCGATTATAGAACGATTGTAAACGTTCCAGAAACGTTGAAAATAGTTCGTTTGACTAAACATAAAAATTCTCTAATTAGTCTGGAAACGGGGGAC